CAGAATGGAATGGATTAAAATAATCTGCAAAAGTTTAATCCCTATAGGATAAAATTAACACCAGGGACATTAGTTAATTAGTAACTAACATACTAACTAACTAACTATTTAACTTACTAAGTAGTTTACTAACTTTCTAATTTACTAACTAACTTACTAATTTTCTAACGAACTTAAAAACTTAATTACTAATTAACTTACTAACTTACTAACTAACTTTCTAACTTACTGACTAAGAAGCATACTAACCCAAGTGCGAAATTAAAAACGGCCCAAAACTGGCCCAGTGATGGCATAGTCAGTGCCTACTCTTGGCAGACAATAGTGGCCCGACTGTCGGGAGGTTAACCGCGGTAGGCCGTCGGCAGCCAATTTTCGGCCGATTGTCGGTAAACATTAATGGCCCATTATTGGCTGCCATTGCTCCCCAGTGTTGACAAATTTTAAAAAAAATATATTTTTTATTTAATTAACTAATTAATTTATAATATTTATACAGCTTATTTCCCTAAATTAAACCCAAACTTACAAATATTTGAAAAATTCTTACCACTCGCGAGGATCGATACCTGAACCTGACGCACCACAGCCTAACACTCTGACCACTCTGCTTCTCTGACGTGAAGTCGAGGAAGCAAAAGGGTTCTTATAAGCTACACTACACTGGCCGATACTGTGCCATTATTGGGCCAAGCTACGTCCCAATATTGGCAATTATAATTTGCCATCATAGATACAAAATGATAGACATTAATGTGCTATTCCTGGGCCAAGCTACACCCCAATTCTGGCAATTATATTTTGCCATCAAAAACACAAAATTGTTGCCATTAAAGTGCCACTAATGTGCCATTAATGGGACGATCTTCGCCACATCACTGGCAATTGAATTTTGACATTAAAGATTGATCAACTTTTCCGTAAATGTGCCATTATTGGGCCGAGAGCTGGCCCAGTCTTAAAAAATTTGAAAATCTGACCATCGGCGCCATCATTGGCCCATCAATGGGACGTTTTGAACACCAGAAATGGCCCAGTAACTACTGCCAATTCTCGGCAGACATTACTGGACCAATGATGGGCCGTTTGTGCAGTATTGGCATTTCGCACTTGGGAACTTACTAACCCCGTGCAGAAAAGTGTCTGGTTAAATTATATACGAGATAGAAACTGTACCGCAAACATCTCGTAAAGCTGGTCACGTAAAACTATACCGAAATGGTCTAGATTCTGTATAGTTTCACTACATTAACTGCTTTACATTGGAATACGTTCTAGAATCTGTATAGTTTCACTACAACTGCTTTACATTGGGATACGGTCTAGAATTTGTATAGTTTCACTACATTAACTACTTCATATTGTAGATCTAGATCAATTCTGCCTAGTGAAACTTCACAATCATAATCTGCAAGTAATTTCTTTATGTTTATAATATTATTAGGGGAGAGTGGGGCAAAGGCGCTAGGTTTACATTTATCGATCTATATTTTTTAAATTAAGCAATTAATTTATGCGGTCTTTGTTTTTCATTATTCTAAAACTAATCAACAAGAAATTTTAATAGTTGTTATTTAGTATATTATAATTATAATTATAAATACATTATTTAATGAAATTTAAAAACATTGCAAAAAATGCCTTTGCCCCACACAATGAGGCAGCGACGTTTTCCCTTATATTTCTAAAAGAAAGAATTTATAAGCCTTAAAAAAATTAACAAGTGATATTTATTAGTATAATATTTACGAAACATAAGGTTAACAACATATTATTAAAAGAATTAAACTATTTAAATAAAAAATAAAAACTTTTAGTGATTTTAACCTTCTATTGTGAATAAATACGATAAATATATAGAAAAATTCGAATATTCAATTGTTTTTAAACAAATTATATTCAATATTGCCTTTGCCCCACATAACAAACTTTTTTTTTACTTTAAATTAAAAATATTTAGATACAAAATTAAACTAAAACACCACGCCAGTTGTGTAGAGAAATATTTAATTTATTTACATGTTACGTTTTTAAAAATTAAATACTTAAACTTATGCTTTAAAAAATAAAAGTTTGTTCAGTAAAATTATCAATTTATTTTTGCAAAACAATTTTTTTGTTATATTTCTTAAAATATTTGATATTTTTAGGTTTTTATTTTTTTAATCAATTGGTCTGATTGCATTGCAACTAAATTTTTAATACCAATTGAAATAGACAGAAAATTAAGGAGATATTTTAAAAAACGTCTTTACCCCGCATAGCGCCTTTGCCCCACTCTCTCCTATTATTATTTACATATTGTAATTAATAATGTTATTAAGTATATAGATTTAAATATACCATTTACAAACAATTTATTATAAATAAAGGCAAAAATTGCAGTCTCGAAACTGAAAAGGTATTTTAAGCAACACATCTTCCAAGTCAGCGTGGCTGTGTGGTATGTGTATTCGTATTGCGTCCCAAAGGTCTAGGGTTCGAACCCCCGTGCGTGCGATATTTTTCCGTCTTAATTTAAGTGATTTATGTTAATAATGTGAAGTGTAGTATAGGTTGAAATTCTTAATTAGAATTTAAAATAATAACAAATAAATAACTGGACTTGTTAAAAATAAAATATGGTATAAAAGAAGAAAGCGAATAATCGAAATTTTTTTTTAAATTCAATGAAATTATTGCACCTTTTAAAATCTTTAATATTGTTAAAAATTAATAATAGTTTATATATTATAATTATAAACTTTGTTAATATTGTTATATTGTTAATATTGTTAATATTGTTATATAATTATATTGTACATATGTTATTAATTATTATTATTATTAATTTTTACAAATATATTTACCGTAAATCAATATAGAAGTATTAAACAAGTTTCTAAAAATGAAATTTATACTAGAGCCCGTGTTATAGCTTTATAATATTTCACTATATTGTTCTGATATAATAAAACTATCTAGAAACTTGATGTCCGTAGCGTTACATTTCAAGATAGTTACTACAACATTTCACGGTATCGCAACTAGATAGCAACTAGTGAAACTATATCATTACGGTACAGATACGTGACAAATTTCCACACGGGACTTATTAACTACCTTAACATACTAACTAACTTACAAACTTAATTACTAATTAACTTACTTAAATTAGTTACTAACTAACTTAATAATTAACTTTCTAACTTATTTTCAAACATAATTACTAATAACTTAATTAACTTATTAACTTATTAATTTACTAACTAACTAACTTATTAAATTACTAACTTAGTTAATAACTAACTTAGTAAGGTAGTAAGTAAATAATCCACTTAGGAATGTAAGAATGTAAGCAAATAATCAAGTAAGCATAAGTATGTAAGTAAGAAAGTAAGCAAATAATCAAGTAAGCTATAAGGAAAAAAGTAAGTAAGTAAGGAATTAAGCAAGTTATTTTCTTCTTACTTACTTACTTACTTACTTACTGACTTACTTCCTTGCGTGCTTACTTACTTATTTCCTTTTTGCTTATTTATTTTTTTACTTGCTTAATAATTTACTTCTTTACTGACTTACTTCCTAGCTTGCTTACTTGCTTACTTACTTTTTTACTTGCTTAATAATGTACTTACTTGCTTATTCCCTTTTTTCTTGCTTATTTCCTTCTTGCTTACTTGCTTACTTTATTACTTGCTTACTTGCTTACCAACTTGCTTACTATTATCCCTGGATTTAGCTAAATTTGCTGAATTTTGACAAATCATTGACTTGGTTATGATTTGTAGTGAAATTTCATTCATAGTCAAAAATAACACCAAAACGGATTATTTTAAACCTTTCTGGTGTTAATTTAATCCTAGAGAGATTAAACTGTTGCAGATTATTTTAATTCATTCTGGTGTTATTTTAACACATTACGATTTTCTGTGTAAGTATGTTAGCTAATTAATAAGTTAGTGAGTAAGTATATTAGTAATTAAGTTAGAAAGTTAGTTAGTAAGTTAGTAACTAAGTTAAGTAAGTTAGTTGGTAAGGTAGTTAGTAAGTTAATTAGTAAGTTAGTTAGTATCTAAGTTAAGTAAATTAGTTAGTAAGGTAGTTAGTAAGTTAGTTAGTTAATAAGTTAGGTAGTAACTAAGTTTGTTAGTTAGTTCGTAACCAAGTTAATTAGTTTGTTACTTTATTGTTAGTAATCGTTGACTTGGTTTTAATTTAAAGTAAAATTTCAGTCATAGTAAAAAATAACACCAAAATGGATTATTTTAATCCTTTTTGGTGTTAATTTAATCTGAAACGCTTTTTAATACCTCACAATTTACTGTGGCTCTAATAATAATAGCGCATTTACGTGGATCACAGTAGTTACCCTCAACCATTAAATAAAAAAAGTCGTGATTCCTCTCTGGGTCCCAATGTGGCCCAAATGATCAGACCATCCGTATTATATTATTATAATGAGGTATGCAAAGTAAACCCCATATAACGGTTCCAGTCAGTGCAGGCAAGAGTCCTATTGGTTCCCTAATATTTCATTTCAAATCGTGTACTCGACATCAACCTTAAAGATGGCCGGTAAAATTATGATTCTTTTTCTTATGTTAGACTGGTTTTCAATGCACTTTTATATGTAGGAAATAATTCTGGCATCAAAAGTATTGCATAGCACGTCAAATTTTGAGTAAAGTGGAGGTAGACAACAAAATACGCGTATTTAGAGTAATTACCACACTATTTCAATAAATTTTTACTTTTTTACCTAAACACTGATGGTGCGATAAAAATTTAAACTTTAATTTGAAACTAACTTATTAAATTTTTTGCTATTCTCTTTTTGAAAGGAATCATGTGAATCATGAAATATGTAGAGATATCTTGTTACTTAATTAGTCTACTAACTAATTAAGTTACTAACTTAATAGTCGTTACTTAATTTTTTCTTAGATTATCTTGAAAGGGAAATCTTAAAGGTAGGAAATAAATATATATTAGTAATATAAAGTCGATTGATCAAAATATAATTTTATTTTTTTATGCTATATGTACATACGATTCGTTCAAAAACAGTTGATCTGCAAGTAAAATCACAATTAGCACCTGCGGAGTGTGACAAAAAAATAAAAATCTTTTAAGGAATACAAAATTACAGACTAAAATACCCTGTTTGAAAGGAAAATTTTCCTTATATAAACTATCATTCTTGTACAAAGTCAAAAAAATTAGTCACATAGTTATTAACAACATCCATTGATGGAAATTCGTCAGAATGTTCTTCAAGTAAATGAGCTTTAAGTTCTTTGGCAAAGTTAGTGCAGTATGGCTCCAAACCTTTTTCCTTACAAGCATCGCACTCGTAAATCGTTTTGCCAACGTGCAGACTCGTTGAAAGAATATGTTTCCTTAGATTCTCCTAAAAAATGCAAAATAAATACTATTCACATGATCTGTAATTTACTTTATTTCAAATTAATTTACTTTGCGATAAAAAATATTAAAATGGTCAATAATTCGCTCAAATTGGCAAGTTATACTAGAAGTTATAGTTTACTTTCCCCTTGGGAGACGCTTCACAGTCTCAATTCGATCATAAAACTTTTTACGAGCTCTTAAGATTTAGTTTGTAGAAATTGTTCGCTTCGATAGGGCGCAAAAGAATCGAGAATTCATGAGTAAGACAAAAATCTTAATCCTGATTGCATTTGAATTAAAAGGTAATTTTCTGTCAATTGTTTTAGTGTTGCAATAGTAACAGGGTTGCCACGCTTTTGCTCATTTCAAATTCCCTGACTTTTCCAGGTTTTCCAGAAGTTTAAAAACGGAATTATTCCAGGTTTTTTGAACTACAAATTTATTTACAAATTTCGTCAAAAGTAAAATTATTTGAAACCATCAATAACTTCATTTTTAAAATACATTTAATCATTTTTTTTTCATTGGAATTAAGATGTTCAAAAATTTCAATTTTAATATAACATACAAGAATATTTTATTATAAAAACATGAAGATATCAATCACACCGAGTCTTCGACTCGAAGTAATCGCTTTCTTTGCGTTTTATAATAATTAAAACTTGCTAAAATCATTATTTTTATTATAAGAATATTCTTACTGTAACTTCCTCAAAAATTATTTTCATCATTTTGATTCAATTATTGATTTCTAAAATTTTTAACTAAAATTCATCTTTAAATCAATTTTCTTTTATTAATTTTTAAAAAAGTTCTTTGAGAATTTTCAAATTCTTTTTGTTTACAATTCAATTTTACGAAATTTCGATTATTCGGAAATTCATTAACCCTTTAATGTCCGAGTTTTTTGCCGTTATTATAAATGTATAATGTTTAGTAAATTTGATTATTCTATTATTCAATATGAGAAAACAATTTTTTTAACATGTTCCACCCCTTAAAACCACCCCTAACGTATATTACTACCCAAAAAAAATTGATAATTAATCTAAGTGATAAATTAAATACTTTTTAGCTCCTCTCTGCTTTATAATTATTTATAAATATTCCCTGGTTGTTCAAAAATGAAAAATAATGATAAATAACCACTTGAACACCACCCTCAAATTCAAATAGCCACTCCTTGACGATAATAGTTTTTGTAAATATTTAAAAAAAATCTATAAATTCTAAATGCATCTAAATTATAAAAAAATGTTTCTAAGTGACACAAATATGAATAATAATGTTAAACACCCCCCTAGGAACCCACCCCTATTTCATAATTATTCTTACACACTGTCAATAGTTTTGAACAATTAAAAAAAATAATTCTCATTGATTCTATACGATTCGAAAATACGAAAAAATATTTTTATGATGACTAGGTAATAATAGTAAATGTAAACTACCCTTTAAAAACAACCCTAATGTCAATAAACCACCCCTTGTTGATAAAAGTTTTTGTAAATGATAAAAAAAAATTTATAGCCTCTAAATGCTTCTAAATTATAAAAAAAATGTTTTTAAGTGACACAGATATGGATAATATTAATAATCACCCCCCTCGAAACCACCCCTATTGCATAACACGATTTAGAAAAATCTGCTAATTTTTTTTTATTTTTTTTGTCCGCCATTTTGAATTTTTGAAAACTGACATCGGATTCGTAATAAGCGACCCCGAAAACCCCGGGTAACAAATTTTATGCGAATTTGGTAGATTTTTAAATTTATCGTCCGCCATGTTAAATCCGCCATTTTGAATTTTTAAAAACTGACATCGGATTCGTAATCAGCGACCCCGAAAACCCCCGAGTAACAAATTTTAGTCGAATTTGGTAGATTTTTAAATTGATTCGTTTTTTTTGGGTAGTTTTCATTAATTTTTTTTCCCTGAGGTAAAATTTTGTTAATCTTTGAAAGCCGAAAAAATTTTTTTTTTTTTGAATTTAAGATTTAATTAATTATAAAGAATTTAATTAACAAATTTTTAAATAATTAAATTCTTTTGACGAATTTTAAGAACATTTTTTTAGAATAGTTACATTTTTCAAGGAATTCGATTAAAATAATTGTATTTAAAAAATAATTGAAATTCTGCGATGAGATTTATTATTTCAGAAAATAATTGAATTATTTAGAAGAAACTTATAAAAAATTTGTAAATATTTAAATTCCTGTGAAATTTTTATTTTTTATAAAAATAATTAAATGTTTGCGTACAATTTTATTAAAATTGTTTTCAAATAATTGAATTCTTTAGGGTAAGTTTATTAAAATAGTAGATATTAAAAATCATTGAAATGAGGAAAATTTTTGAAAATAATTGAATTTTGAAGAAGAATTTTTTTTATTTATAAAGATAATAATTGGGATTTTGTCGAGATTTTTTTGTAAATTTTGAACATAATTGAATTTTGTGATAAGATTGTCATTAGTCTTATTACTTTTAAAAATAATTGAATTTCTGCAATCATTTGTAACTTCATCAAAATTATATTTTTTTTTGTTTTTAACTAAAATTCTTTTATAAATCCATTATTTTTAATAATTAATTAAATATATATTGACAAATTTAATTAATTTTAAAAGATTTTGAATTATTCAAATTTTTCAAAAATCTAAGTTCATTAAAATTTCTAACGAAATTCATTCAACATTGAAATTTTATAAAATTTTAAATTGAAACCGTTTGAAGTTCATTTATTTATGAAAATTGTAAACGCAACTCTTTTAAAATTGAATTAATTTTGAATTATTTAAGTAACATTATTCATAAAATAATTTATTTATTTTATGATAGTTATTTAAGATTTAAGTTATTTAAAAAGAAATTTTTGTCAGACCCAAAAATTCAAAATTTTCTTATGAATTCTAAAAATGTAATTTTTTTCAGTACTTTTAATAAAAATTTCTGACTGTTCCCTGAATTCTCTATGTCAGAATATATTATTATTATAATTATAATAATATTAAAATTATATACCCAGGTAGAAATTTCAACTCTATAATGACCAGTCACTGGGAAGTTTTTCTAGATTCTGGGCAGTAATTGACCAGAAAATCTGGCAAGTGATTGATTGGAAATGTAACGCGCTACTTGAGCAGTTACTGGTTAGATTATCTGGCCAGTGACTGGCAAGTAACTGTCCAGTAACTGGACAGTTTTCTGCTCAAAATCTAGAAGAAAATATAATTTTTCCCGGCTCTTTTTATTTTGTTTATAATTACATATTTATTTATATTTTTGTGATTATTCAAATATTTAAGACTAATGAACAATTACTCTACCAATAACACTTAAATCTAAGAATGAAAAATTCGCACGCATGGGGGATCGAACCCTTGACCCTGGATACACAACGCATGTGCGTTACCACGCAGCCACGGTGACTAGATAGTAACTTATCATAACTAGAAGTTTAAGAACTGAAGTTCTATTCCGATTGTGACCAGAATTTCTGGCCAGTGACTTGTCAGAAGTAATGAATGATCAGAAATGATGACCAGATAAACTGTTTAGTCACTTGTCAGAGACTTGACAGCTTATCTTGTCAAAATTTAGAAAAATGTAAACTTTGGTAATAATGTGACAGTGAAACGATCATAATTTTTATATAAAGTTACTTTAGACTTTTCTGTTTTTGACCGTATGGAACATAAAAATTATTTTTAATATCTAATTATAAATGATTGACTAAGAGTGTATTTTTATGGGACTAGTGCTTTGTTTTTTTCCTTAGTAACTGGAAGTTTCTGAGTCCGCAGTTTCTTTTTTTAATAGTGTCAAGATTTTTTGGCTAGAGATTTGGAAAATCTAGAATAATTCCTTTAATATGATTCGGCAAGTTTTTCTGATCAGTGGTGGACCAGTTTTTCTGGATAGAATCTTAAATAATTATTCAAATCAGTGACTGGCCAGTGTCTGGAAAGAAATTCTTATCACTGTAATGATCAGAATTTCTGGTCAGTGACTTGACAAAAGTACTGTTTGCAAAGAGGAATTGTTTTTATCCAGTGAAACTGGCCAGTCACTCATTCAGGACTGGCCAGATTGCCTTGGCAAGTAAAACTTGCTCTCGACTCTACAGCTACTGGAAGAAAACAAGTAATACTTGACAAATTTCTACCTGGGTATTTCAATTCATATTTTATTTTTATAAAAATTTTTACGTTCTATTATTTTTAAAATTGCTAATTTTATTTAAAAAAGTGAGTGAGTAGTCAGTTGCGCGCGTAATCGCGCGAATTGTTGCTAGTATTTAAGTAAAGTTAGGTTTCAAAAATAAGGACAATAACTTTAGAAAATAACAATTTTCTAGGATTTTGATCAAAATTCCCTGACTTTTTCAGGTTTTTTCAAGGGGTTTATAAAATATCCTGACATTTCCTGGTTTTCCAGGTTTCCAGGTTGCGTGGCAATCCTGAATAGAGAAAAGATTATATGATTTTTATTTGTGGTTAAAGGTGAGAATAATAAAAAATGATCTGCAAACGAAACATTGTCTTGAGTTCGTCATCGTATTTGTATTCATTGGACGAGAAGGAAGATTAGTTGATGCTGTTGGAATAAACCGGACGCGTTCATTGGCCAACGTATGGTGCTATTAAGGCACTCGGTTAAGTAGCCGACCGTATAGTCGTAAACATCTTCGCTTATACGAGCCGTTGATGGCAACGGCGATCATCAAATTTAATTTCCCATAAGTAAATCTTTTCGCGGTCCAACGTCCTCGCCATGAGGGCTTCAGAAATACTCACAATGATAAAAGACGATGGGCATAACCAGGCAACCGTGAATCCTCTTAAACTTGAGATGATAATAGTCGCACGAATATAGGTACAGTAAATTTAATTTGTATGTACTTTGAAACCTCAAAGAGAATAATGGCACCAAACAAGTTAGAAGGTATATTTAAGTCTCGCGCGCAGCTTCTAAATAATGTTAAGCGATAAAGT